GTGGAAGATAAGATTAAAGAGAGTCGCCTTAGATGGTTTGGTCACATTAAATGGAGGCTTTCCGATGACCTGGTTAGAAAAGTTGAGGTATTAGATTTGACTTATATATTAAGAAAGGTAGAGGTAGACCTAAAAAGACTTGGTCAGAAAATATTAGAAATGATCTTTCTTTATTAGATTTAAACGAGAATTTGACTTTTAAACCGGGGGACACAATGACGAAAAGGATTCATGTAGCGACCGGACCATGTAGTGGTACAAAGGCTTGATATTGTTGTTGTATGTATGGGAGAAGTTTAGAATAGGGAAAGAGTGGAGAAGTGGAAGAAGAAGATCCTACTCCTTATGTTTACGTACCAAACTATCCTTATAATGAATGGAACGAGCATTTTGCACTCTTAAATTAAAAGTAGATGTGCATATTTAATGGAAGGACATCTTGGGAGAAGCGTAACATTAATATAATGAGGACTGAGCCCGATTTCAGGATTAGAACTCCAATTCATGAATAACTTTCACACTCCACATCGAGACCAAGGGTTGTATGAGTTTTAAAAAATCTCTTTATGATTTTATATTATATTTTATTTTTTTAGTATGGATGTCATTCTACTTTTTGAGATGTTAAATAAGAGGAAGCAATATTTATATTATTTGGTTGTATTCGTGTACTATATTTGGATGTACTTTATGTTTAACTTCTTGTGTAATCTTTTATTTAAAAAACATACTAAAAATAAAAAATTAAATTTTTTTAAATTGTCTATATATATATATATATATATATATATATAAGTTTATTATCATTAAATGTATAAATTTAGCAAGAACTATGTTAACAAATTAGAAAATTTTATTCAATGATTTTTTTTTTATCAAATAAAAGACCTAACCCAAATTATTTATCATCATCAAAATGGAGATTATTTATTGACCTCATTGTTGACTGAATTTGTCTCTTCTTTTAGAGCTTAACTTTAATACTTAAGTTTCTTACCTTAGTGTAGATTCCTACTTCCAGGACCCTCTTAGATGTTTTCCCAAGGAGTTAACTTTAGCTAGCCCTAAAAGATCCAAAATCTTAAGTTTTTTCTTTATAGGCCCCTTAGAAATCTTAGATTAAAAGTTTGCAATTAGGTCCTTATAAGACTCTCTTAGTCCTTTAAAAACTCATTTAAAGCACTTTAAAATTTAGAAAAATCTCACTTTTGAAAGATTTAAATCAATTCTAAACCTAAGATCCTAAGGAATTTATAGGTGGGCCCCATGTGCCTAACTAGACTACCCATGGTCGAAATTACCTTTAGATTTATGTGAACCTCATAGGAACTTTAAGGACATCGGCCCCTTAGTGACCCTATTTATGTATAAGACCCCATAAGATTAAGCTTAGGTCAAACATTAAAATCATAGTAAAATGCCAAAAAAATGCCTTGAACCAAAACTTGAAAACCCAAATTTTCAGGTGCATTTGTTAGGAGAAGCAAAGTGGATAGAATTTCTCATGGAATCACCGTAACAAAAAAATATAGCATTTTCCATCAAATATTTAGGCAAAAACTTTTTCAAAAAATGGTATTTTAAAGTTGACGGAAATTTTCATTAGAAGATGCCCTATTTTCCAATTGACATCCTTCCTTCTCCAATTCATATGAAAATAATGTCTCACACCTTTTTAAGCCCTCTTTCACTCATCTGACCTATTTTCAATTAAATTATATTATATTTTCATGTTCGATTATGTTATTTTTCTTTATTATAGGAATATTGTATATTTGTATTAAAATTTATGCTATAGAACATTTATGTCAATGCAAAAAATTGCTTGTAGCTTTATATATAGATAACTCTATATATGCAAAAAAAAAAAAATCATTATTATAGATCATGAAGGAAGCATCAATGGAGTTGCTATGAAAAACTTGCATATTTAGATAAGAGGAAAGTTTAACAAATTTATGAGGTGTTTGATTGAGATCATAGACTGTCTTTTTTAAACACAAATAATCAAGATGTTGTGGATCTTGAAATCCTATCAGCTGGGACATGGTGATAATGTCATTTAAGGGTTCATGTAGAAAGGTATTGGCTGCATCTAATTATAAAATAGGCCAATCAAAATGAAGAGCAATTGTGAGAAATAAATGAACAATTGGAGATTTAGCAACTGAGCTGAAAGTTTCAAGATAGTCCACTTCAGAAAAAATGCTAATGTCCGGCGGAAATAAATTCGTCATAAATTTTGGTGAATTTTCAGGCAGATTTCAAACGGAATATTTCTGGAGGATTTTTCGAGGGAATATTTCAGGTGGACTTTCAGGCGGATTTTCAGGCCAATTTCTAAAAAAAATTTAAATTTCTAAAAAATAATTATTATTAATACTTAAAATTATTCTTTCTTTTAAATTAAATATTGTTAACCTAAAATAATAATTTTTTTAATACTTACTATTATGTTAAATTAACTAATTAAAGTAAATTAATTAGATAATCTAATAGATATTATTAAATAGATTAAATAATTTAAACATATTATGCATAAAGAATAATTATTAAGAAAGCATATTTTAAATAAAAAATGCAGCTAAAGTTACATAATATGCATCGCAACTCATTGGATAGAGGTGGTTTAAAGTGGGCGGGGTTCGAACCCCGCGCAGCACAAGCAGGGTTGTGCAAGCGGGCCTAGTTCACGGGCCGGTGGAGTTCGCGGGCAAGCCTAATTCATGGGCCCGCAATTGCATGAGGGCATGGTTCACGGGCCAGCGCGCGGTTTGCAGGCAGGCCTGGTTTATGAGCCCGCGGAGTACAGGCGAGTTCACTGGCCTGCTTTGGCTAAAAAACATTTATTTAAATTTTTTATCTAAGCGACGATGTTTGTTTTCCGACGTGTGATTTACAGTCGGAAAATTTTTCTTCAAAAATCTGCCTGAAATATAAATTACCGATGCTTTTTGATACATTATCAAAAAATTATCTTGATATGGCACGAATCTCGAGGCAAAAATCAAGTTGGAAGCTTCCAAAATTAAATTCAAGAGCATTTGAACTCTGATTTCAGCGAGATTATAGTCAAACTGAGCGTCTCGGAAATACGAACCCAACGACACCAAACTCAACCCAATCCGAGCCCAAATGAGTCTGAATCAAAGACCCAAAGCGCTGTTGGGAGATTCGAACCACAATTTGAGTTACCAAACGGTCTCCGATTTTCACGAGCTTATACTCGAATCGAACGTCTCGACGAGACAAATCCAACGAGCCCAAGATCGCCAAATTCCGACATCATCAAGGCCTTCAAATGTCCAACGAACGGTCCACGATCAAGAGATTCAATATCGACCGTCCATTCAAACCACTCCCGATTCGCCCTTGATCTCACACCTATTTACAAGTCATGCCACTCCAGAAAAACTATAAATAGAGCCCTCATTCTTCACAAGAGGGCTCAAGTGAAGAGAAAGGAGAAGAAGAGAAGGGAGGAATTTGGGAGCTCTCTTGCCACCGACCACCGCCGGAGTTCTTGCCGACCACCGCCGGGGTTCCTGCCGACCATTGTCGGGTTTCCTGCCGACCACCGCCGGTTTTCCTGTCGACCATCACCGGGGTTCCTGCCGACCACCGCAGGTTTTACTGTCGACTGCCACCGAGGTTCCTGCCGACCACTGTCAAAGTTCCTGCCGACCATCGCCGGTTTTTCTGCCGATCACCACCTGAGTTCTCTTCTAACCGACGCTGAAGCTTATCCCAACCACTGCCTTATTTTGGTCGTTTCATCAATCATCGCTAAATTTTTGTCTGTTACTAACTTGTTATAATTCTGACATCTTCAAGTAAAGGGGTGAATCAAACGTTGTAACCAATCCAGATATAGTGGAAATTTCTCATTTGGGCCAGGCCCCGTGATTTTTCCCTTTTCGGGTTTTCCACGTAAAAAAGTTTCTGGTGCTTCTCCCTTAATTATCTGTTGGTGTGCTGGGTATACGTATATTGCTAAGGCATTATATTTTTTACTCTACTGCCGCGTATATTCTAGTCCGCAACACTTTTCTTTCATTTTCCGGCAGAAATAGACACCTGAAAATGACGTTTTTCCTGCAGTGGTTCAAGCCATATTCTTGTTTATAGCCTTGGGCGACAAGTCAAGCTTTACACCTGACAATGAATCCTTTAGAGTGTTGTTTGAGTGTAAATATTCATTTGCAATTAATGTTATTTTTATTTTGTTGAGGAGGAACTAAAGTCCAAGTACCTCGAGATTGTATATATAACATGAAACTCAGTGGAAAGAGCTTTGCACCATTCAGGATCTTTAATGGCTGAACTATAACACATGTTGGAGAAATAGATAGTGTGGTTGAGATCAGGAATTTAATGGGGCTTGAGATTACTACTTTAAAGACTAGTTACCATAGGGTGACGAAAAGATAGACAAGGTGAGTGAGAGGATGTTGATGAAGAAGAAGATTATGATGTGAAAGAAGATGAAAGTGATGTACATAGAAGGGGAAGACTGAACATTTGAGTTATAGTAGGAAGTAGCTGCTCGAGTAGAATGGGCAATAGGAGAAGAAGGAATGGAGTAAGAGTAAAATTGTTGGGTGCAGGAAATTATATAGCTGAAATGTTAGTGGTTGAAGAGCTAATGAATAGAGAAGAAGATTCATCAAATTAAACATGTTAATAAATAATTATGTGACCATTAAGAGGGTTATAACAATTGTAGACTTTTCGTGAGGTGGCATAACTGAGGAAGACATAGGGAGTTGAATAAGGGGTCAGTTTGCGAGAGGCAGATAGACGAAGCCTTGGATAACATTGGCAACCAAATACTCAAAGAAGATTATATTTGGGAGGAGTATTATATAAAAGATGAAATGTAGATAGATATGAAGTGATAGAGGTAGGGAACAAATTCATTAGGTACACTGCATATGATGAAATTGAGATAGATTTAGTGAATTTTTTGCGAGAGAATGTTGATGATTATACTTGGGGCATATGATGCAAGATATTTGATCAAATTCCTTAATAATTTTAAATACATATACGAAGTTATCAAGTTTTTATAAGATTATTCTTCCCACTCGTAGCAGAGCATTTACTAATTGGCTTTTATATGCTGATGAAAATTATTTCTTCTCTTCTTTCTTTTCTTGCTTCTCTTCCTTCTTTTCTTCCTTCTTCTCCTCTTTCTTTTCTTCTTTCTTCTCCTCTTTAGCTGGTCCAACGGATACGATATCAATCTTCCCTATTTTCTTCAGCTTCTTTGCGATTGCTATTGTGTCCATTTCACCTATGACTGTCAGTTTCTGCTCCTTAAGATCAGCAGCTATGGAGTCGATCCCTGTTTAAGAGAAGAAGTTGATACTGTCATGTAAAGCCTACATGTGGAATAAGTTTCATGTTCTAACCATTACCTAATGATAGATTGTTATATTCCATTATTCAGTTCCATCATATGACGTTCATCTCATTACAGTAATTGAAGCATCCTTGAAAAAACAGTTAATGAAAAAATAAATGGCGGAATTATTCAAACTTTAAAGGTAGAGAAAACCTTAATTTCAGATTGTTTTTGGTTACTTAGAGCTTTCATTTTCTATATAGTTTCGAAATTTGAAAAACTGTATGAAACATCCTACCTTCCATTAGTTTCAAACTGGATCATGTAATTTTGAAAGTATCTCATCTAAGCTTTATTTATCATTTCATGACAAAGAAAGCATGAATGCTTAACAATTATCATGGAAAAGGAATTCTAAATCTGGCTGGTGTTTTAATTTCTTATTTATCTATTTTGTAGAAAATCGATTACTTTTTGTTGCTAGGTATCATTAATTTGACTCTGCTACCCAACTTATCATGACACAGTTGTGGCTTTAGGAACATCTATATTGATGTTGAAATTTTGAGCTTTCAGTGCCGCTTTTAGCTTCCTATGCTACAATGTTAGCATTTTGTTACTTGAAAGAACCTAAGGGGCTGTTTGGTATGCGGATTTAAGCCCGGATTTGGGCGAAATCCAGCCAAACGGCCTAAAATGCAAATCCAAATCTCACGGCAAACGAAATCCTCCGTGGACGGAAAATTCTGCCGATTCGCTCTAAATCCCGGATTTCCGAAATCCTTTTTATAAAATATTATAAATAATAATTAAATAATTAATTAGTATTAATAAAATTTTGTTATATTTTATTTAAACATTTCTTGTCATGCTTTAATTATCCTAATAAAGTATGTCAACTTTTTAACCGCCTTAAATCTTATAATGAACAGCCAAACAGTCACAAAGGATTTAACTGGATTTATCATGAATGTTACCAAACAGTTTTCAGGATTTAACCCATCAGGATTTCGTAAATCCGGGATTTGGAGGATTTACGAAATCCTACATAAATGAAATCCTAAATTCTACCAAACAGCCCCTAAATATCTTAAACGCTGGAGTTCTAACTTCACATATAGACTGATACACACATACTAATCATCACTGTTTGAATACTTTCGAGCAAAGAATAAATGATAGGGTTATGGTCTTTAATAGGCAAAACAGTTCAAGCATGCTTTGATCTCGTGAAACCCCTCAAATTCTCTTCTTGCTTGCTTCCATGGCTAGGCTCGTTCTAATTTGCTTGCTTTATTTCAACTAGCGATAGGTCATATTAAAGATTTTCATGAAGGCAACATAATCAAAACACTAAACTACTATAAATCTGACAACTTTTAGGTTATTTTCTCTTCAAATATCCACCAGATCCAAATCTAACATATAATAGAAAGTGAAACCACAGAATTTCCAATTAAAAGAATGCTTAATATATCAGATGAAAAGTCAGGTATTGGGAAAGTACCATAGATATCAGCCACAGCCTCTATGGCTTTCTGCTTTGTCTTCTCATCATTCATGGCCAGAAGCTTGAGAACAATCTTTTGCTATTTGTTTCTCAAACAACAAAATTTAAAAATAGTCTGATCATCTGATGCTAAGAAGATTAAATTCAGTTATAAAATAGAATAATTCAGCTAGATGTTGATTTGCATACCTGCACCATAGCGCAAATGGGAAAGGGAGACTTATCTTCCTCTGTAGATGATGAACAGCAAGAGTTAAACGGAAGGTTCGTAAAGAAGCATCAGGTTCTCAAAGCCATATATAGTGCTTAAGATCACTAGTTCCCGCGGAACATGCATATGATACCAGGACAGAGAAGATTTGCATGAGATGAGATAAATGATGCAACTTTTTTTTGGGAAGTTTCGCAAGTATGCTTGGTGATGAAGCATGCATAGTTATTCCTGAGGAACAACGCAAGAGGGCAATATCGTGTTAAATTTACGCAACCAATGAGCTGAGCAATCTTTACTAGTGCTACTAAAGAAGCCGCCCACGGCCCACCGGACAAAAAATTGAAAATTCGGACGTATACCGAGCAATATTGGGTGCTCAATACCGAGTTTCAGGTGACATGGCGCATGATTATTGGTCTCTGGACGCGTCAGGTGACCTAACGTAATAATTGCTCCACAAGATGGAAAAGAACAATATTTTATGAGCTTTATTTTAAAATAGGGGTGTAAGTGAGCCAAGCCGGCTCGAACTCGACTCGATAATGAACTCGCGAGCCAAGCTTATCGAGCCGCGAGCTCGAGCTCGAGTTTAAACTCGAGTTTAAACTCGAGCTTGTTTGTTAAACGAGCTCGATTTCGAGCTCGGCGAGAGCTCGTGAGCCGAGCTCGATTCATTATTTGAATTAAAAAAATATATAAATGGTTGAAGGCGGCAATTCCAAATGATGAAGGTGGGGGCATTGGGCGGGAATTCCAAAAAACGAAGCAGCAATTCAGTATTTTCTACCATAAAATAATATATAATTTTCCTTTTATTTAATGTAACCAATGAAAACTGCTGACAGCTGCTATTATTTTTTTTTGGGAAAGGTGAAAAGCTGTAGCTTGTTTTTACTTTTTTTTTTTAATTTCATTAATTATCTAAGCTCTTCTCTTCTCCCCATATGATATCTTATTTTCAACGTCTTCTCCGATTGCAAGCTCGACACGGATGACTCGCTCGAAGGCTGCCCGGACCACCGAGGCTCGCGAGCCGGCTCAAACTTGTTAACAGTGGGACGAGTTCGAGTTCGAGCTCGCTTTCCGGCTGACGAGCTGAGCTCGAAAGTGTCAAAACTTGACTCGACTAGACTCGTTTACTACCCTATTTTAATAAGCGAATTTTACTTTATATGCTCATAAAGCTCACAATTTGAGAAATATGCCCCAAATTTCATTTTCTGAATAAATGGGTCAAAAGTTCATTTCAAATAAAGCTAGCCTTCTTGTATTCAAGAACCGCTTATTGAAATTTGTCTCCAAAAAAAAAAACGAGCTTATTGACATTGTTTCCAATTACATTTTCACAATGCCTTCACTGGTAAGCTTATTGACATTTTTTGAATTGGTCCAAACTTGAATATTAAATCAAAGCTTAATTTGAACTTGGTTTGAAGATGTTCGAACAAACGTTCAACCAATGTCAACAGAGCTTACTAGCGAAGGCATTGTGAAAATGTAATTGGAGTTCATTGGGGGCTCATGGACAGGACTGACAAAGCTTAGTTGAGGTGGTATCATGGGATCGTGATGATAGTTCACTATGGGCTCGCTGAAAGAAACTACGACAGGTAAGAAGAAATAATTTCATGATCTGAGGGCTTATCAATGAGACCCTTAGCATTTGATGAGAAGAATCTTTCACAATGGGAACTCATTGTGAAGGAAACAACAAGACATACAACATGTAAGGAGAATGCAAATTGAGAAATTTTCTTTCCTAGCAACTTATTTGGGGGTCTCAAAGCTCTATTTATTGGTCTGGCACTTCACACTCATCATATCACATTCTTTGATCGCTTTCAACAAGCTCTCTCACACGATCTCTTCCAAAGCCTCGAGGAAAGGTTAGTGTTAATATTTTTCTCATATTTATATTGGAATGCATTCATCATCCCTTCCAACACTAATAATCCTCATAGGTTATTGCGTGTAAGATAGAAAAAAAAAACATAGTTTAAAATTTAGGTTCAAATAAGATCTTCAAAATCAAACTTAAGCCTTAGGTTCCAAAATGTAGTTTGAAGGAGTTTAAAAAAGGTTATACAATTTGAGGTTTTAATTTGGTTGAGGTTATACAATATGAGGTTTCCACCAACTTTTTATGAAATCAATTGATGTTATTTGATTTAATTTGTTATGTACATGTTTCCAAACTAACAACTCTTATGGAGAACCATTATATTTCCATAGTCACAAATAGAGTTATGTGGTGAACTAGAAGGTAATTAAGAAATTTGAATGTTTTTATCTATTTAAAGAGGGTCAATTAATCCCCCTTCAACCAATTATTTAAGCTCCTAACCTATAGTTCTTTGGAGTCTTAACTCATTACCTTATTCTGAATAAGGTAAATAATGTAAAGAATGGCGATTACTTCATTTTGTTCAGATTGGAGGAAAGATTTTAAGATTTAAACTTTCTCAATTTTCGTTGTTTACTAGACTTGGATTTGGTGAATATCCCATTGAGGAGAAATTTTTGGAAATTACCAATATAAAAGGCTTACTGAGTATTACCTAAATGATTACAACAACTTGAGGAATGTAACCTTAAGAAGGCCTTCAAGAATTGCACAATAAAAGAAGATATAAGAAATTTAGGCCTATATTTTTTTGTTGATGTGCTATATGAAGAATAGTGCGACATTAGTTGATGGAGACTACTTTTTTTTCTAATATCCATGGGGAAGGCTACCATGGGATAAGACAATTAAAGGGTTGAAAAGAGCATGATTCATATTTTTGCATCTCACTAAAAAAATGGCTCAAACTTTTTTTGAAATGTAGTATGTGATATGTTTTACTCAAATATTAAAAGACAAACTTGGTTTGAACATATTTTAAAACTTGACACAAATGTAGTATGCATCCCATTAACCATATTGTAGAACTTAATTTTGCATTTTATTTTTTAGGATCTTTCTTAAATTAGTTATACATTTTAGAAAGATTAAGCATAGGTTACGAAGTGATACTCATATTTCTCAAAAGTAGTTTAGATTCATGCCGAGTAGGACTACTATGGAAGCTATATATTTGTTGAGAGGTTTAATAGAGAAGAATAGAAAGAGTAAAGAGGATCTTCTTATTATATTTATTGATTTAGAGAAAGCATATGATAAAACTTCAGGAGACGTTCTTTGGAGAGTTTTAGAAAGGAATGCTTATATTCAAGTCATTATGTATATGTATATAGGAGCTAGCTATTACTTGTGTTCAAACTCAAGGAAATTTGAATGCGTATTTCACTATTTCAATTGGATTACATCAAGCATAATCTTTAAGCTTATATATTTTTTTTCTTTAGTCATGAATGTTCCTACTAGACATTTGAAAGGGGATGCACTCTTTTGTTTGTTTTTTGCTGATGATGTTTTTGTTGATAAGACTAGAGAGAAGTTGAAAAAAAACTTGAATTATGGAGGTCAACCTTAGATTCTAAAATTTTTAGTTTGAGTAAATATAAAATTGAATACATTGATGGTAATTTTAGTGATGGCATTATGGCATTGGATGATCAAGTCATTAAAAAGAGTGTATATTTTTGATATATCATGTCTATGTTGACCTCATTTTTATATGAGGTCACTTTTAACTCCTCCCTAAGCTCTAGATCCTAGAATCTTCCTAGTTCTTAGACCTTAGGCCCAATCTAGATCTCAACTCAATCCAAACCCAGAATCCAGGGTTAAAGACTTAGGTTCTAAAACCTTTTCTAGGTTATTTTCCCATCACCTTGAAACCCAATCAATTGGCATCTGATTCAGGGTCTGTCAATTCCATATTGATGTGACATGTCTCTAGTGCCAACCCTCCAAATTTGAACTCATTTGGAGGACTTTAACACCATAAACTCAATCTAGTTTCAAAGATTACAAAACCTTCAAATATTTATAATCCATGCCACTGGACCTTTCACCCAGTGAAATTTGACCTTGGGACCTTCCCCAAACCACTTGATCATATCCATGGCCTCCCCCATGACACATTGACCAGAAACCTGCACTTTTTTAGACCCAGGTTTGACTAAGGGTCAAAATGACCAAAATATCATTTATGGAGATTTTTGATCTTTTCCCCAAGTTTTAACATGTCCAACCCGTATCAAACTCCAAATTTCATTCTAATGGATTATAAATGACTTTAGAAATATATTGAACCCAAACTTACTTTTCGGTTTGACCTGGTTGACCAAGTCAACCATGGTTGACCAAAATGCACGGGATCACTTCCATTGATCTCAAAACACTCATTGAATTTGTCTGAACCAAATTTGACTCATGGTTTGACTAGGTTGACCAAGTCAACCATGGTTGACCAAATCAACCCTTAACCTACAAACTTGTCAAATTCAATCATTCAACCTATTTCAATCAAATCAACCTTCAAAATTATTTAATTGGACACCCTTCACATGTCCAAAGACTTTCAAGTCAATCCTCCTCTTGAGTTGACTTGGTCAACCCATTTGGAAAGGTCAAAACCCTCTCCAACTTTATTTATTTGCTCAAAGCTTCAGCTCTTTTGATTCCAAACTCCTTAGGATAGTTTCTTACAGCTCCCTTGACCCTCTCCAATCTTATCCCATTCATCATTGACTGGTCAATAGGTCAATGAGTCAACAAATTCATTTTAAAGCCTATGGAAAGAAGCCAAATTATGGCCACATCACTAAGCCACCTTGGCAATCCATGGCTTAGTCTAGAAACTGCTCAAACATGATGCGATGTGACCCATTTTGTCCCCTAATAGAGCTTAAACCAGCCCCTTTAATAAGGCTTAGCTTTGGTTTAGCCAAATAAGGGAAAAGGTGTGGTCCCTCTTCCCATGGACCAAGAGAAGTCACACTTAAATATCAGCCCTATTCCATAGCTTTGGGCAGCATAGGGGACACTTGGCACTCATCCAAAATCACTCTAAATCAAATCTCAACCATCCAATCCAAATGCCAAAGGTAAAGTGGGGGAAAACTTGAAC